GTAGAACTGCACTCCCTTATGGCGAGCACATCTAGTAAACTGTTGATGCGAAAGTTAGTGGGCAGATCTTTAAGGTTTCCACCAGGGACTTGACTCTCCTTGCGACACTCAGGACACGTTATGACATCATGGCGGCCACTGTTTCTTTGAATTCCTGCTAAACAGTGAAGGCAGAAGCTGTGTAAACATGGCAGCTGCTTTGGTTCAGTAAATGTGGTCATGCACACTGGACAGGAAACTTCTTCATGAAGATTGTCAAGTAAGGTTTTGATATCCATGTTTAGCGGCTTGAAAGGAAGGATTTTGCTGCACACATTAAACACACCTAATAAAACTGTTGTTGTCTTGCAAATGAAATGCTATAAATATTGACGAATCAGATGCGATGCCTAAAGGCGTATTAGACATGCAAGATTTCTGCTAATTTTATACGGCTTTACCTCGGTAGACAAACGTGTTCTCATCAGATGGTAGACAGGTTCTGGGAAGAATGGCTGACCTTCAGTGAGTCTTCAGAATGGCCACGACCAATCGCGAAGGTTAATTGAAGGTTTTAATAAGAGCGTGATTTTCAGCAAAACTATAAGCTATCGCAGTGCTAACTCGAAATTTTTAAAATAAATAGACCATTTTTCATTGAAAATACTAATTAGTCATCGTAGCCGGCGGTTTTGTACCCCCTGTTGTCCCATACAAAGCCTTAGAAAACTTTTCTTTGGCTTTGTATGGGAGAACGGGAGGGTACTTACAGTTCACATATCTTCCGTCCTGTCATGGAATGTGTTTGGGAAGAGCGTGATTTTAAAATAGAAGAGACTCTGTATTACCTATATTTTGATAGGTTAACATAATCAGTGGCTTATGCAGCTTAATCTTAAAAGTTTGTTGTAGATAAGTGAAGATGGTTTGTTTTCTTTTCGGTAAAACACGCAATAGCTAAACATGTGAACTAGTTTTCCTTATGGCGAGCGAAAGTCACGCGCAAGCACATTCTCTCCCCACCCCTCTCAGTGCCTTTTTGCTCCACTAACTCTTGCCTCCATGCTCCCGCGCGGTACATGTATCTCCATTTGTTTCAATTTAGGTACTGTTTTGTATCACTGTTTTACTGTTATTTTATAATTCCACACAGCGCAAGTATTTCATTCACAGACTTTAAAATTATCACTCGACGCTATTAACAGAAGCGTTAACTCGAATCTGTTTGAGGATTTGTTGTTTGATCAACAGGCGTAAAATAACTGATCGCGCCGAAAATAAATACATTGGCTAAGTTTCGCTCAAAATAGTTTTGAATGGAAACTGAAATCCTCCTATCTCAGGCTACCTCTTTTTGTTTCTTCTACTCTGATCATTCTGTTCTCCACTTTCTCCGGCTTTTCATTTTCGCTCTTCCAGCCAATTTAATTGTGAAAATATTCTTTTCTCAAGAGATAATGAGACAGGGACTTGACTCTTTAGTCACTGGTGAGGAGACCATGGTGGTCCTTATCGATGGATTTTTCCCATCTCTCTTTGGTGGTTTTTTAATTTTTGGTTACCAGTCCCTTCAAGCATGTTTGTGATTTCGCACATCAGAGCAAGAGGAAAACGGAACTGTGCCCTTAAGCAGCATAAAATTGCTTGTCATGGATTTCATCTGTTTCTTTTTCCGTTTTGTCACTTTTGTTTTGTGTAAAGCGGACTTTCCTTTTAGAATACAGAGCAAAAAACTCGCGGACTAACAGTACAATCGATAATCCCGGTATAA